TCCCAGAAGAGATTTTTAGATATCCATGTAATTGAAATCTTCTATTAGTTGTAATCACTGACCATAATATTGAATATATGTTTTATTAAACACTGGCAAGAAGATTAACTACCAGCCTCTTATGACTTATTAGAATATCAGGAATATTAGGAATATTTTTTTTCTTAAAAAGTTCTTTATTTTATGATCTCTAAGCTTCTGTAAACTTTAAATCATTTTAAGGATAGCTGGTATTTTTCTTCTTTGATTTTTCATTAAACAAACAGATTGACTCATATGTGCCTTTCACGTCTAACTCGGTAGAGCTATAACAATTCACTCTAGTAACAGACACTGTCACCTGGTAATTGGACTTTCCTGGTGGCTCAGATGGTAAAGAATCTGCTTGTGATGTGGGATACCGGGTTCTGTCCTTAGGTTGGGAAGATCCCCTAGAGAAGGGAATGGCTACCCACTCCAGCATTCTGGCCTGGAAAATCCCAAGGAGAGAGGAGCCTGACAGACTACAGTCCATGGGAATGCAAAGATTTGGATACGACTGAGCAACTAACACTATCTGATAGTTATTCATTCCAAATTCCAAGTTCTTGGAGCAACAGTATCTGATCTTCTGAAATGGTTTGATGACACAAGTGAAAATAAGCATTGGCTCCAAACAGAGGTTTCACTTTAAAAAATGTAGACATGGGTTTCCCTGGTTGGCTCAGTGGTAAAGAATCCGCTTTCCAATGCAGGAGACATGGGTTCGATCCCTGATCCGGGAGGATCCCACAAGCCTCAGGGCATGCGCCACAACTACTGAGCCTTGCTCTAGAGCCTGGAAGCCACAACTACTGAGTCCATGTGCCACATCTACTGAAGCCCGCGTCCCTTAGTGCCTGTGCTCCAGAACAAGAGAAGCCATCACAACGAGAAGCCTGCACACCACAACTAGAGAGTAGCCTCCGCTCACCCCAACTAGAGAAAAGCCTCCACAGCAACATGACCCAGAACATCCAAAAATAAATAATTAAACTTATTTTAAAAAATGGCCCACATAAACAAATAAAATTTTTTTTAATGCAGATCCTTGGCTTGATCCTGAAACTGTCTCAACCGGGTGGTTTCAGTCTTGTATACTGCAAAAAGTTCTCTAAAAAATGTAATCATAAGGGTAATTATCAAAACAAACAAACCAAACCCAATCAGCTTGCTATAAGCCAATTACATAATATTACTGCAAAATAAGTAAGATGAAAGACTGGGAAACAACAACTCTTATTTTAGAGTTATCTCCCACCCCACCAATAATTTTAATATCTATGCAGAATGCTCCCATTGCTTCGCTTTTGTATGATATCTCTGCCTACATGAGCCCCAAGTCATTTATTCTACTCTACGGTTGCCATTAGCAGCAAGCAGGAGGGTCCGTGCCCTCCTGGTATCTTCTGCCACCTTTGGACCATCCCTCCTCTACTTTCAAAGCCCACTGTTTATGGGAGACTCAGCTCCTGACTATGCTGCTTTGTCTCCTTGCTGTCATCTCCCAATTGCATAATCATTCCTTCACAGCTACCAAGGCCTCTGGAACCTGGTTCACAGTCTTCCTCTCCATGCCAATCTCTCATTCATTTGCTTATTCAAATATATTCTGAGCCAAATTATATGCCAGGACTGTAAAAGGTGCTAGGGAGACATTATTAGACAAAATAAAACTTCTGTTTCCAGGGTGCCTGCACTGCAGTGATAAGGAGCAGAGTAAAGGGATACAAATGTAAACAGGTGAATATGTAACATGTCAGATAGTGGTTAATGCTCTAAAGAAAAAGCAGGTAAGTGGACAGTGAGTGATGAGGATACACAGGGAAGGGTGGGGGAAGGCTGCCCAAAGAGGGTGCGTTTGGAGAATGAGTCAAGAGTGTGAGCATCTCTGGGGATACTTGGAGGAAAAGCAAGCTGGTCTGAGGGGGCCCAGAATGCAAAGGCCCTGAGGTTGGGAGCATGCTTGGCACATCTAAGGAAGATGCCGGGGAGCACTAAGTGGAACGTGGTAGGAGATAAGACCAGAAGGTATATGCAGATCCAGGTTATGAATGACCTTGTAGACAACGGTCAGCAGTTCAAATATTTGGAGAGCGATGGGAACCATTGGAGGCCTGGGCGCAGGTGAGAGGCTTGATCTGACTTAGCTTTAAAGGGACCACTCTGACTACTTCGTGAAAAATGACCTGAAGGTTAGTCAAAGGCAGAAGTAGGGAGACCAGTTAGAAGGATACGGCCAGAGTCTGAGTGAGGAATGATGGTGGCTCAGACCAGGGCGGAGGGGGAGGAGGAGGGAAGGAGTGGTCAGACTCAGGACATCCTGAAGGCAGAACCCATGGGATTCACTGAGGGCCTGGAGGCGGCGTGTGAAGAAAAGAGAGGCGTCGAGGATGGCTCCTGTAAGGTTTTTGGCCTTACCAGTGGGAGGACAGAGTTGCTGTCTACTGAGATAAGGGGGACTGGGAAGGAGCAGATTTGAGAGAGAAATTAAGAGTTCAGTTTTGGACATGTTAAGTTTGAGATGCCTTCTTACTATCCAAGTGGCTCGAGCTCTCTCTTGGTCACTTAAATATTATCGTTGTCAACTGACTGACATCTCGAATCAGGGTTCGTGAATTCAAATGCTTTCAGGGGCCAGGCAGGAAACACAAAATACTGAAATACAATAGAGAGAGGAAGACACTGTGGCTGATGAGAGAGCAAACGCCTCATCTAAAGGGGAAGCCAACCCTGAGCCGAGTCTAGGGTTGCCATTTGGGATCTGGGCCCCAGTGTTCCTTTATCTTCCCATTTCAAAATAGAAAGAAGAATCTGGACTTTTAACAACCAAACATCAGGGAAATAAAAAAGCTCCACAATCTATCACACTCAAGAAGTGCTCAGTTAAATCAAGTTCTGGCTTCAGGATTTATTGGTGTCTTTAATTTATTAATTGCAAAAAAAAAAAATGACTGGGTTTAGCATTTCTCTCATTTACTTGACAGCAGGACCTTCTTTTCACGCAACATTTCAAGGGACAAGCATTCCTTGGACCATACTTTTGGAACTGCTGGTTATGCAAAAGTCCTAGACATCTAATCAACCTATTCCCTCTTCTAAAATTTTAGGGAGTATATTTCTCGCATTTTCAGAATCATAGTTGAACACACAAACACACATATACACAGATACAGCCAATGTTGTTAGATGTTCTAACATCTAATATCAGTCTAGAACAAAGTGGAGCGGTTACTAAAGTCTTGCAAATTGTTAAATACTAAGTGGGACCTTGATCCCCTTGCTGGTGAAGAAACCAGCCAGGAGTCACACATTCTACCTCCAAACCTCCTCTGATGGACCAGTCTCAGTTCCTCCCTGTTTTTTTGCATACTCACCCCAGAGCTCAGGTAAAACAGGCAGTTCAACTAAGCCTGACAGATGGTTCTGCAACAGTCAGCAGTCTCTTCCATTTGCCATAGTTCTCCAGGGTGAGCAGGGTCAATCCCTTCCTACCCTCAGCAGCCAGAAGGCCACACTGCTTAAAATGCCTCTCAATTTAAATGCTCAGGGCAAGGGGAAAATGGAGAAAGCCATGAGGCAGGTGAAGAGTAGCATGAAATTGCAAACTTAGAAAGCATCTCAGTGTGCAGTAGTAGTTTAATTTAAATGTGTTTTCATTCATAGTACTCTTACTTTTCTTAAACTCTAAAGATGTAATGCAATAAACATTATAACTGTGTGTAATCACAGATTCAACTAATGACATAACTGCTTCTAATGAACAGAATGTAGATGTCCTCTCTGAATTCCCCTGCAATTTCTTGCTAGAAATAGGAAAGGGAGTTCGGAGTGGGAATCTGTAGACTGAGGACTCTCTAAGGAACAACTCCAGAAGTGCATTCCTGCCATCTAGAAGAAGGAATTCTCATGTGGAACTGGCATCTCAAGGCCCAAGTCTGTACTATGGAATATCAGATAACTGAGGTGTGCACTTCTAGAAACTAAGCAAAATACTCTGAACATACAAAACAGGAGGGAAAAAACTGCACAATAATGTTTGCTAATTGGATGTCCCCAAAGAGGAAAGCTTTTAGAAAAAGTTAACATCTGCTTATTGTGAAAGTCTATCACAAGATAAGATTATAATGGCAAATAATATTCAGCTAAGTGCTGGGCAAAAAATTCACCTGTCTTGACAAACAAGCATATTCATATGACTAATCTCCATACAACCTAGCCTGTATAACAGCCACTAAAGTAGTAATAAAGTGAAAACAGCTCAGTAGTGTCTGATTCTTTGCAACCCCATGGACTATGAATTCTCCAGGCCAGAATACTAGAGTGGGTAGCCATTCCCTTCTCCAGGGAATCTTCCCAACCCAGGGATCAAATCCAGGTCTCCTGCATTGCAGGTGGATTCTTTACCAGTTGAGCCACGAGCAAAGCCCAAAGTAGTAATAAAGTATCCTATAAACAAAAATAATGTACAGCATGGGCTACATGGAGTAATTAAGCAATAATAATTTAATTTCTCTGTTGACTTCAATTTCTTGATTCTACAGTTGTATTTGTAACCTCATTCCTCAACCTGTTACCAGATTCCATGAAACTCCAAACAGAAGTTAGTGCATGGCAGACCAATGAGAGACTTGTAGGAAGATGCCAGGTCTTTCCACCTCCACAAGGGAAGAAGAAATGGCAGAACATTCACGTTCCAGAAGCCACCTTCTGCCCCCAGGTACAGACATGAGGAGAACACTGAGGGCTTCACCTAGCCACTCTTCTGTGGCTTGCACTCTGAAAAAGGATTCTCAGTTAAAGAAAAGCAAGAGCAAGGTCTTTATGACATCATCAGGCACATCGACAGAACACAGTGAGTTTTCCTGGGGAATAAACATCTTCACAACAAAAGTTTCAGACTTAATTAGCAATCCCATCATATCCTGATGGTACCACATTTGCTCCAAAATAACAAAAGGCACTTTATCCTCTTCTCTTACCTGCCTACTGTCCCTCTGGGAGGACGTGGAAGAGGAGGCACTTCTATGGGTGGGGGTGGATGTTTTATGAGCAGGGGATATGCCCTTCTCGTCTGAACTCATAGCTGCAGTTACAGTCTAGTTGAACGCACTGAAGACCATGCCAGTCGTGTTTCAAATTCACAAAGAAGCAGGTGATTTTTCAGCTTTAGTCCATTTCATGAATCAGGTTTGATTAGAAAAGAGGAGACAAATGTTGAGGATGTCCCAAACACCTAAAAGTAAAGTAAACAAACAAAAAAACCCTCATGTAAATGATTTAAAAAAACATTACATTAAAAATCATTTTATTTAGGAAACAAATATGATAGGAAGAACTCTGACATATTACTAAATATTATTTCTTCTAGATTTTAAGGTAGAGGATAAAAGTGTTAATATGTAACAAACCTCTGTCAACATGGAAAACAGGAAGAGACCATATGTTAAAGTGATATTCTTCCGCTGTATTCTCATTGTTTTAAAGCAAATTACAATGTTATGTTCTGGACCTTCATGCCAAAGTACATCAGTTGCTTCCCCTGAAATGCAATTTCCTCTGCTCAAGGGATTATAATGGGAGCGCCATCCATATCTGTTGCCGATTTAGTTCAGTCATTTCATACATGTGACAGTTAAATCCAACATAAAGAAGTCTGTGACAAAAGTGAAAAGAGCTGATGCATTTCGTGCATCATATGACCCAGTGTTTGGGAAGGATCAAGGGATACACCAGTCCATCCTAAAGGAAATCAGTCCTGAATGTTCACTGGAAGGACTGATGTTGAAGCTGAAACTCTAATACCTTGGCCACCTGATGCAAAGAGCTGTCTCATTTGAAAAGACCCTGATGCTGGGAAAGATTGAAGGCAGAAGGAGAAGGGGATGACAGAGGATGAGATGGTTGGATGGCATCACCGACTCAGTGGACGTGAGTTTGAGTAAACTCCAGGAGTTGGTGATGGACAGGGAGGCCTGGCGTGCTGTGGTTCATGGGGTTACAAAGAGTCAGACACGACTGAGCGACTGAAGTGAACTGAAGGGATACACATATGCACAGTTATTTGTACTTCAAGACCACAGCACACCTATGCATGACTCTCAACACCAACAGGCTCACAAGCATCTGCAGGCTGACAGGCATGTCCTGGGACTGGGGAAAGGATGGAGTTGCTTCACTTATCCACAGCCAAGAACCACGTCATTTTTCATTTGCATTCATATAAGGAAAAGTCTGCACTGTAACTGCTATGGCTAAAAACTTGTCCCTGTTGTTCAACTGGCAACACAGGTTGCTGGGAAAAAAATTTTTTTAAGGTAAGCATGATAGTGTAAGATGCAAAGCTTATACAACAATCTATGTCCCCAAAAGACTGACAACTAAAGTGAACTTTGTCCTCTTCTAAGAAAGTGGAAGGCCAAGTTCCAGGTCCAATCTCAATACCTTGAAGGAAGCATAGACCCTTGGGTAAGTACTTTAGCACAAATCAGAAAAAAACAAGCAAACAAACAAAAACACCTGCTAATGATGAAGAGATATCAATCTTTAGACCAAAGAAAAGTGAGACCTGAACTTTTCAGTCCAGGAGCAGAGACAGTCAATGAAAAAAATCAAAAAAGGAAGAAGATACATGGGGTACTAGGAAGACACATGGCAAGGGGGACTCACTGGGTCAGGAGGTCAGAAGTATCCCTGTGCAGGTGGGTTTGACCTGAGATCTGAAAGATGACAAGGAGTTAACCAGCTGTCTGGGTGTCCAACGGGGTGTGATCTAGGAATTCGTGCTGGTCAATACGATCAGAACACATGGAGACAGTGACATGAGGGTCAAAGAAGAGCAGAGTTCAATTCCTGTAGGGCATGTTCAGCACTTAGATTTTTATCCTAAGTCTAAGAGACCATAAAGAGGTGAGGTATAACCAGATTTGTATGCTAAAAAGACCACTTTGGCAGCCATGAGCAGAACCAGAATGGGGAAGTAAAGAAGATAAGGGAAGCCCAATTGGAAAATAAAAGATGATGAACCAGAGAGGTGGCGGGACCACTCTGCACCTGGTCCTGTCAGCTGTGTCTCGATAAGGGGGAGGAAGGGCTTCCCTGGTACCTCAAACAGTGAAGAATCTACCTGCAACATGGGAGACCTGGGTTCAATCCCTGGGTTGGGAAGATCCCCTGAAGAAGAAAATGGCAACCCACTTCAGTGTTCTTGCCTGGAGAATTCCATGGGCAAAGGAGCCTGGCGGGCTATAATTCATGGGGTTGCAAAAGAGTCAGACACTACTGAGTGACTAACACACACACACATGCAAGAAGGGGGAAACAGCAGGGCTCAGGATGATTCCCAGGCCTCTGGTATTCCAAGCGAGAGTTGGCCAAAGGCAATCAGAACCGACAGCAGGCCATGAGTATAGTTTCAGATGCGTTAGCAGTGAGGCACAACAGAGGCATCCAAATGGAGACAAACACATGTGTCTGGAGTTCAGAGAAATTTAGGCTGGAGATGAATATTTAATAGACTACGTTAACAATACAAATATATCGAGCAACTTACATATAGATCATGTAAACTCTGCAAGTGCAAATAAATTAAATTTCATAAAGCCTATCATTATATGTTTAAAACCTGCAACATTATGTTAACTGATTATGTGATCTCATTTGTAATCAGGATTTTAATTGTCAACTGGCTATAGAGAATATTTGAAAGAACAATCCCAATAAGTAAAAGGCAAGTGATTATAAACTTGGAAAATTGGACTTTACTTGTGGTCCTTTCACAAGATTTCAACGCCATTGTCACCACAGGAAAAACAAAATCTACTTATCCCCCAAATTGGAAGACTTTCTCTTGAAACAAAACTAGCGTTAGAACTAATAGACACGTAAAGAGCTGCAGAGCTCGCTCTTTGCCTTGAGATCAGGTTTTGTTTAGTACTGGCAAGAGGCAGTAATAAGTCAGCACTTACAAGATGATCAGCTAATCCTTCTCTTTTATGAGGTAGTCTAATAAATGCTCTCAAGCCAAGCTCTGGTGCCAGCAAACAGAAAGAACACTGCTCAAATTCTTGATACGAAGTACCTTGCTTACTGGCCCAAGAAGCTTTACAAGTAGATGCTGATACCTGAGCAAAAAGTATGGAGGTTCTGAGATGTGCTCAAGTGCCCCAAGGGATGATGCTGAGACAATCTAACTCATTAAACTCTTATCCTTTTGTAAGTAAATTTAACCCAACCTACATCAAGGGCCAACATTTCCTCTGATGTACTTTTCTTTTTCCCCTAATAGCATCCAACTGCACTTTCCTCGTTAACATCAATGCTAACACTTTGGGTTTTGTTTTAATTTAAAATGATATTTTCAGAGTAACTTGTCTTTGAAGAAAGGGCAGCATTTTTGGTTGAATTATAATTATGAATATCTCAAATAATGTCAAGAATGAGGAAAATGTAAGATAATTTAATTCATTCTATGAATTGTTTTTGAGGTTAGTGTTGTTGCTGGGCTTCCCTGATGGTTCAGGCAGTAAAGAATCTGCCTGCAATGCAGGAGACACAGGAGATGCCTGGTTGGATCCCTGGGTTGGGGAGATCCCCTGGAGGAGGAAAATGGCAACCCACTCCAGTACTCTTGCCTGAAAAATCCCATGGACAGAGGAGTCTGGTGGACTACAGTCCAGAGGGTCGCAAAGAGTCAGACACAACTGACCGACTAAGCATGCATGCATTACTGTTTCTATTATTTTTAAAAATCTTCTTAAAAAAAAAGTTTCAAGTACCTAATATAAGGTTGAATAAGATGACCTTTAATGATCATTCCAATTTGACTATAAGCCAAGTGTCTGATCAATGTTCTATTTCAAAATGCACTGACAAAAGTCAATGTAAACTCTTTGGTAGGTTGCATCTATTTATTCTTTATTCCTGGAATGTAAGAAATGTTGTGACATTAAAAAATACTTATTTCATCTCTGTCAAAGCACATTTTGAGAAATCACCTAAACAAAATTCTAGCCCTATTTTAGATCATGGATTTTAAAGTCAACACCAACATAATTCCTATACTCAATGAGAAAAGTATTGTGGCTGAAAATAACAGCAATACAAGAACCTAACACCTAATTTTCCTGTCTTATTCCTCCTTCACATATCAGTGGGATCACTACAATTGTTTCTAAGTGCTATAACACTGGAATTTACAGTGAGTGACATAAAAATCAGATTTATGACCTATGGACCTAACTAAAGCAAAAGGTAGCATGGAAGACTTAGAACTTGCTGTTTACAGGTATCATACATCATGTGTGTTCAGAAAAACATCTGAAACTGGGGACAACTTACCCCAGGCTAAGTTGTGATGCAGTAACAGAGAATTCCAAAATCTCAAGGGTTTACAAGAAAGGTTTATTCCTCACCCATTTACATGTCCATTAGAGGCTGGCTGCGGCCCTACTCTATATTCTCTTCATCCCAGGCCTAAGAGCCTCATATGAAGGAGGAAAAGAGCCATGGCAAAACCATTAGACCAAAAGTTCTCAGAGCTTTTGCTTGTAGGCAGCACATGCTACTTAAACACAGTTTTTATTGGCCCAAGCAAGTCATATGGACAAAATGAAGTCCATAAGACATGAAAGTATAATTCTCTCAGTGATTACCTGGGCACAATAATATGATGTATTGTATTTACCATAGGGCTTCCCTGATAGCTCAGTGGTAAAGAACTTGCTTGCCTATGCAGGAGATGTGGGTTCAATCCCTGGATCAGAAAGATGGAGAAGAAAATGACAACCCACTGCATTATTCTTGCCAGGAAAACCCCATCGACAGAGGAGCCCTGCAGGCTGCAGTCCATGAGGTGCAAAGAGTCAGATACAACTTAACAACTGAGAATGAATGCATAAGGCCACCAGACAGATATAACACAATACATTTCATCATCCTTCTAGTGGGACATTTAGATTGTATTCAGTCTATTCTTAAACAATGAGATTTATCATAGAAGAGTTCATGACAATTATATATTTCTACCTTTGATTATTATAAAATCACCCTCTGTTTCATTTGATAGCATTTGCTTTTTTTCCTG